CATTTTTTTGTTAGTAGCTACTTATTCTCTTGACCTAATCTACTCTAATTCAAACTTCAAGATGTTTGGTTTTTATATAAGTTAGATATCTTCAACTTGCCTACTACTATATGTACCCTATTAGTCCAAGTTTTTATGTTGGGTTGGTTCTTTTAAACTTCATTGTGTTAACTGGGCTAATTAACATTCCATTAACCTTATTTGAAAACACAAAATAAAATAGTATCACTTATGAAGTTTTTAAAATTCTTCATTTTTTATGTAACATCATGTTTAAAATTTTATATAATTATTTATAATATCATTGGAAAAAGTGATTTTTTTACATATTATCTATACTAAAAGTTATATATTATAAATATAGTTATTTAATTTAGTATTTCATATAATATACTTGAAGAAATTTGAAATTTAATATTTAAAATATTAATCATTTGAAATATTAAAAAATATAATAAATTAAGATGTTTTTAAAAAATATATATAAAAAATATTAGCAAAAAAATTTGAAAAAAAAATTGAATTTTTTTTAAAAAATAAAATTAAAAAATAAAGAAAATTCTAAACATGACACTAAAAAATTTCATAGAAAACACATATAGTAATTTTTGAATCTGGTTGCAAGATTATTTTTTAAGAAGAAATATTTAAAATAATAATTTTAACTTAATTATTACATCTTAAAAAATAAATTGAAAAATAAGAATAAAACTTAAAGTTTTAAAATCCTATCACGTTTTTGTATGAAAACTAAATGTAAGAAAGTATACTTGAAGTAAAAGGTTACTAAATTATTAAAAAGTAATAATAAAATTTTGGAGATATATATATATAGATGATATCTTGGATCAATATATTTATTAAAGTTAATTATTGATCCATGATATCTTGGATTTAATAATTAAAGTTAATTAAAATCAAGTAATCTTTTAATGGATAAACCCAATTACAACTCGTCATCATTCTTCTTTATGTCATTGAAGGAATTGCAAATAAAAGAGCCAGATACTAGACATTAATCTATCAAGAAGTAATTGCAGAGTAGAAATAAAACATGACAAAAAGTCTATAATCTATCAACTAAGAAATATATTTTTGTCAAAGAAATAGAAAAAGATGGATTAGGTGCAAATTACCAACTAAACTAATTTTTTTGGGGAGAAGAAGAGACTTTCAAGGGAATTGGTCATGTTTCCTTTCCCTTTATCATATATTCTTTGGCAGATCTCCACAAAATGAGTCAAATTAAGTGACTTGCACCACAAATGAACCCAAGTCACAAACAAAGTTGACAATCTCTTTAATGTAACTTCTACACTTTGATATACATGAAAGGTTGTTCTTATTCATTTTCTCCTTCACATAAAAGTTGAAAAAAAGAAAACAAAAAACTATGTCCAAGTTTAGAGCACTTGCCAAAGTACCTTCGTAATGGGATATGCACTTAGCATGCATGATGGCCTCAAAATATGGGTTATCCCAAAAAACTGATGATGCCCAGCCTTCCAAAAAGTCCAATAAAAATGGACTTTGTCTCATCTGAACTGGAGGAAAAAGTGGTCCATCGCAGCAGTTGTTAAAGGATCCATCCTTTAGCTTCCCACAATCATTTAATGCAGCTTTAACTGTCTTGTGGTCCCATAGTTTAATACTTGCTGCTCTCCAAAAAAGGGCTCATCAACACTGCTCCTTGTTTTCATTTTAGTGCAAATTGGGGTAGGATTTATCAACAATGAGGTTCATTGTGGTTAGGTTTTTCTGAGCAGGATGATTCATCTTATGTTAATACCAAGAGAGCTTAGTTGAAGCATGTCCTTGTGTATGACAATTTATGGAGCCACTGTAAGTGAGCTTTTGAGTGAGTAAAGTTCAGTACTTTTCTGTTTGATCTTTTGGTTTCACCTTAACTTCTGTACATTACACGAATGTTTAATCAGGATGTAGGCATTTTGGATATTAGAAATGAAAAACATGCTCAGTACTTATATCTGTGAGTGCCCCTCTGGTGGCCTGTATCAGCAGGACAGTTTTTGATGAGGGAAAGAAGCTAAATTTTATTGATTTAATTGAATTTAATTTTTTCTGTAAAAAGATTGATTTACAATAACAGTAATCTTTAAAATTCAAAGCAACAACAGCAATGAACATATGCACACAGCGTTCAATTAAAGACACATTTTTGTTACTTAAAAGGGCACTTTATGTTTCGACTTAGCTACACAAGTGTCAATGACGTGAAAAGAGTAACCATGTAAGTAAACGAATGCAAAATAAAAAAACCCATTCATGTTATCAAGCTTTTCATTTTCTTCGAAGATGATCGAACTTGATCTGATGACTCGAAGCGCCGATGCACTCCAACCGAGCAATGCTCTGTAACAAGCGAGAAAATCCTACACAACGTCTTCAACGCTTATGATTGCAGCTGTTTCGTAACTAAGAACGCACAAAACGAGGATTTTTATCAGATTCAACACATGCTCGTGTGGAAGAGATCGCGGTCTGCCATTCGAATGCGCATGATCTGAGGCTGGACTACGAGGTCGATGCACCAGGCCACGGTACAGTCACAGTAGCGAAGGGAATCGAAGAGGAAATCGAGCCTAGGTTTGCTAGGCAGAAGATCAGAACAGCATGAGACGAAAGCAGTAACTCAGACCTGGACGAAGACAACTTCGAAAGTAGTTGTCTGATTTCGGCTACATGATCTGCAAGCCTCATTTCTGAACCCCCTTTTGTATCTGCCGATGATCCTGATTGATCATTAACACCGGCGGGAATGTCGTTTCATCACCTGGTTTGTCGTATTCGTTTGTCGTATTCGTTACTCAAGTACGTAAAATCGACTGTTGTTGAAATTCCCTGAGAGGTTGTCCAGGTTTGGAGCATCAACCGACTCCGAAATACACACAACGGTATGTGTCTTGTCCGATATCTTGTCCGAAGAGTTGACTCGTGTTGCGAATAAATTAATGCTAATTTGTTTTCATCGCCGTTATTGGGAATGGTTAGAGTTGATGCGTGTCTTTAGTGTTTAAGGGCAGAAATAGTTTTGTCTTGATGCTCATTGAATGGTTCATACCCAACTTAGTAGTCGACGAAGAAGAAGTTTTACCTGGATAAAAAAAGAGTTGAAGCTTTCATTGATCACCAGGTTTTTCTTCTGACAAAAGTGGGTACATCCAGTGCTTCAGATCAGCAGTTAGCTATTTGTATTTTTGTAATTTTTCCACATGTGGGGTATACCAAATGCATTAACATAAAAGGTGATGGTTTACATTTTTTTTGGAAGTGGCACAATTTCCTGTGTTTCCTACAACTTGACATAATAATACTGATCATATCTGAAACATTATGGTTTCATATTACTTAACTCTATGGTGCCAATTGGACAAGAACGTAAAACTTTCATGTCAACTCAGAAAATTCGGCTGGAATCAAGCATACTTGATTTTGTAACCAACCACAAGTCCGGATTAGGTTGGACAATATGTCGGATTTGGGTTGACGAGAATCTTCAACTAAAACATCAATATACATTTTGTTTTTGGACAAAATTGTGTGAAATTACCTAGAATCCTTTTAGTTTCTATTTCCCCACATGGTGATGTATATTTTTTTATTATTTCATACACTTACAGCAGATATGCTAAAATGCTTAAGTTATCTGATATGGGTCGGCTACCTTAGGTGCTTTTGTGTTTAAAGGGTGTGTAAATGATCATTAGGTAATTGATCTACATATTGAATGAACAAATATTGCTCTAGTATATATATATATATATACATATACTTAAAGTGGCAATTAAGACTTTGTGTAGATTCAAAATTCGTTGATTCAGAACATTGCTTTATAAGTATATTTAAATTCTCTTCGAAAACTACAACACGCTTCAACGGGATGACTATGAAAGATGTGATTACATTACCAAACTCATCCTAACTCTTTTCTTGAATACGCATGTGCCACATTGTGTGCTAATAACTCAGTCCAAACACGTGGATAGCTTAGAAACAACACTGGAAATTTTACCACTTTCATTGCTATTAGGCTCAGGTAAACTTTTGGTCAGGTTGTAAATTGGATTGAAAGTCTACTGGCAATCAGTTATACTCAAAGGTCAAAGTAATTAATTCTGCAAACGTTTGAAAAATGATGCGGAATCCATAAACATAAACGAGTTCACTTAAACTAGATATCTATATATGAAGACTTGTTTACTCATTTCAGAGATCAGACCACGCCAGCTCGCAGCCGCATTCGAGTTTGAACGATTGAAAGCGGTGCAAATTTCCATGCCGCAAGCGCGACTGCTTACAAGTCACTCATTCGTATGATCCACGTCGGATTCTGAATGTGACAGTGATCGGCAATAGTGGGAAAGTCCCGTCCTGAATCAGAAAACGTGCTTCCTCTCAGTCTGTTCCGATGTTGAGTTCTGCATCTGGTCAATACTCTGGAAATCCCATATTCGAATGGGAAGCTGAAACAACTTACGAGGCCCTTTGGTGGAGAATTTCAAGGGTAATCACTTTCCGTCGCTGTCGCAAAAAGCTGAGGTTCCATGACTGGCTTGGCATAGGGCGTGCTTAGGTTCTTGGCTCTAACTGCGCTGTTCATGATCCAGAAGAGGGGTCCCTCCTCACAAGCTGGCCAATTCTTACCAACTGCGCTCATGTGAGTGGAGAATTCACCCCACTTGCGTCTATATGATATCTAGAAACTTGTGTAGGATGGTTTCCTGCTGGCCATCAAACTTGTGGATAGCTCATGCATGCTGTTATTGTCTGTGAACGCTTTTCCTGCACTGTGCCCCAATTCTGAGATGATATTTACTCGAGGTGCTGGGACAGCAGTGAGATTTCATGCTATTCAGGATGTTTTGGAGCAGTCGTGTTGACTTAACACTGTTCTCGATTTCCGTAAAATCATGCTGCCGTAAACTATTCATCCGTGGAGCCAGTATTGAAGCACATCTTGCACAGTCATGCGCTTCATATGAGTGAAAGAGGTTCAGCCAAATGATTGATTCACCAAAACCTTTACACCACATCTCGGATCATTGCAAACTCGGGGAAACTAATAATGTCAACACTTTTGTGATGTTACAGTAATTTTCTAAATTCTATTCTCTAAAAACGCTTCGTTTGTATGGTCTTTTGTTTTTCCTTGACGTCCCTGACGCTTCAATCACAACTTCGTTATATACATCGATCAGCAGATCATTCATCTGTTCTGATACCCCGTTCAACTGCGAATAACTATTGAATATCCTGCCATCTAGCTACTCCTGTGTCTCTGAAAATGAGCCTCAGCTGCTGCCTTGGGAAATACCACTATTCTGCGTTTCAGTAATGGCTTGCGAGTGTAATTTCCTGGGAGAAGAGTTGCTTCTGAGAGAATCGAATATCGATTGGGGAAGCAGGTCCTACAGTTCAGCTGTATCCTGGGCTACCTCCCCTTGATATACCGCAAGAGATACTCGAAGTAGACGACGTCGCAAGCAATGTTCAACCCACCTTTGTGCGCAAACCCATATTCTTCAGCAGATTTCTCCAGCAACTCTTTAAACTTTTGATGCTTGAGAGAAGCAGCGCTGATGACGAATCTCTGCCTCTCGCTCCCAACGTAGACGGCCAGAAAGCCCTGTGGCACATCTGAAGGGGCGAAGTCTGGAGGCTCGTCATCTGATTCTGGAGCAATTTGCCGTAATCCAGACAAGGAGGTTCGTTTGGGTAAACTTACTCCAATCCTGAGCGATGCTGCATCGGGACTGAGCTTCTGATATTGCTGGTTGTTATTACCGATTCGCCTTTGGAGCTTGCGCACAACGCGTTGCATCTTCTCTGATGCACTTTTGCCCTTTGACATTGACAAGGGGAAAGTGGTCACTCAGTGACCGGAAACAAAAACTGTTCGCAGCAATGAGTAAGCCTTACCGCTTTGTGGGTTTACGTGACGAAGGTGAGCATAAGAGACGAACTCGCTGCAGCGATCACACGGGCCGTCATGAGTTGCCGGAATCGAAGCTCTAAGAAGAATCCGTCTTCACATTGACCTTGCTCCTAGCGCCGCTCTATCGCATCAGCTTCCATTCCAGAACAAGTCACAGCGTGAATGCTACAGCCGAACGTTGCAACGGAAGTGAACTTCACCACTGTCGAGAGACCGAAGCAAATGAAAGTGGAGCCTTCATAATACCCCCGATGTCTAAGCCAGCCTGCTTATCCTATCAAAAGCTCATGAACTATAAAAATGTCATTGTCTCTGCAGGTTTTTGCACTTGTGAACACCACAAGACGCAACAAAGGCGGCCCCACGCACAACTGAAGAGTCTGGGAAAAAGCAGAAGCTAGTTATAGCGACGCATCACCTTGCACCGAGGAAAGAAACTGACATATGAAGGTCACCAATGGAGCGATTGTACACGCTCCCAAATTGTCCCCGATATCAATGCACCCCAAGAACGACTACTTCCAAAGTAAAAGTCCTCACATCCGAGGTCACCGAACACAAGGCGGAGAAATCTACCTGTGCAGATGAGTGCAGCGATGCCCTCTCGAATACGAAGCTCAGAAAAACAACAAACACGCACAACTAAACCCCTTCGATCATCTGTCATATCATTCTACACACATCAAACGCGAACCTTTCCCTGCCAACGACAACCATAATCCTACACGAAATTGAACAGTCCATCGAAAATGTAAAATCAGCGAGAATACTAAAAAAAGAAAAAGTAAATATAAATAAAAATACAAACTCCAAACAACAGAACTCGACACCTGCAACGAAACGAAGTGAGGAACGATCCTCAGTGCACTACAGCACCCAAAGATTTCCAAACTCAGAACGCGTTCACGCTACTCTCTCGCATCAATTCTCCCACAATGCCAATAGAAACCCAACTCAATCTCACAGCCATCGTCAATTTAAACGGTAATCAGAATTTGCAGTGAGTTCACCAATTCACCCCCTGGAAGCGTAACCACCGAGTCTAGACGCAACCTACGTGGGCACCGAGGATCTCTACGACGACGTCACTGCTGGGATCATGCGCCGGCAGCCGAGGCACACGCGCTTTGATTAATGCCGCGGCCCTGGAGGAGAGTGCGCAGGAAAAGTTCCCGGCGCCCGGCCCGGCCATGCCCGCTCATGCAAGCGCCCCGATTGAGGCCCCTCGGGCATTGCGTTGGCCTGGGCTCGGCTCCCGCAGTTGTTGTCTCGCTTTCTCTTTCCACCTTTTACTTTCTTCTTTTCTCTTTTACTTTCTTCTTCCCCCTTTTACTTTCTATCCTGTGCTTTTTGAAACCAACGAATGAATTAATCACAATTCGTTTCGTTATATTTGAGCAGCTAATTATGAGCCTTTTGATAGTCATCTTTCAAATTTTTGTATACACCTATTTAAGTATACCAATGACAACCTCAGGATAAATAAAACTCTTGAGTTACATGAAAAAAATTGTACTTTGGTGATAACTTTCTTTTCGATTTTCTTTTTTTTATATGTCAAAAAGTATAGCTTGAATTTTTATAAGTTTAGAATCCTAAACATCTTATTAAAAAAATTATTTGTAAGAAGTTGTAAATTACAATAGTTGGTAGATACAAAATATGCATAGTATTATCAATACTTTAGAAAAACAAGTCTCTTTTATGGTGTATTAATATAAAATATTTAAATATTTATTATGATTTATACAATATGCAATGACAAAAGATTAGATCTTTTATAAAATAAAGAAAATTCACATAAAATATAGGTCTAAAAAATATATAAAAGCCACTATAAAAGAAATATGTGGTCTTTTGAAAGAAAAATAAATGTCTTAGAATTTCTTGTGTATTTTTGAATTAAAAATATTTATAAATAAGAAAAAAAATAATAAAGTATTATCTATTTATTTATTTTAATTAACTATTATGAGATATCTAAAAATAATATTATTTTATAGCAATTATTGGAGTATCATTATTAATGGTTTCTACTTCCTTCAAAGCCACTAGAGTAGTCATATTCATACATGAGCATCTTGAGTTCTAATCATCTATTTTGGATACAAGAAGAAAATATTTCCAACTATCTCCTACCTCACCAAAAGTAGCCTTTGGATTTTTGAAAGAAATCGTGGAAGTATAATTAATGGTGAATAATTAGAACTTTTTATTATTAATTGTAGTAATGTCATTAGATAGAGTAGTTTTATTTTAAGAATCTACTATATTACTACTTTAAAGTTTTACACTAATATATACAATTGTATATATTAGTGACTTCCATGTGTGTAGAAATTTATACTAAAGAATAATCTAGTCATGTTAATAATATCATCTTACACCTAGCCTATTGATTTATTTTTCTATAATTTAATATTTAAAATATTAATTTAATTCTTTTCAAAAAATTAATTAAATTTAATACCAATATTTATAATTTTAATATTTTAAAGATAATATATGAAAATTAAAAATATAAGAATAATGATTTAACAATAATATTTTTAGAAGCATCAATCATTTATATTATATTTAATCAAAATTTATGATTATAATTCAATATAGCTAAAAAAATAAATATAAATAAATATATGAAGATAAATTTTTAATAAAAATTACTCACAAGTAAATAAGATTTTATGTGTCTATAAATATATTTTAAAATTCTATATACAAATTTTTAGTATATTTTATTGAATTTATAATATAATATATTCTTTTATCTTGTTATAATTAATAATTGTATCTAATAGATTTTGTTGCATAAAATATTTAAATTTTTATTATTTATTTTATCATAAATTATATTTTTTTGGTAAAATATTATGTTATAAAACTTTATTTCAATTTAAAAATATTATTTTTAAACCATATATTTCTTAATAAATACATAATTTTAAATATTAAATTTTTGTTTATTTATTTTAATTAATAATTAATATTAATTATATTTAAAAACATTAATGTATTTTTTTAATTCTAACTCATATTATCTTTCAAACCATCTATCTTCTATTTTAATTATAATATAATATTATAAAACTATTTATTTGATTTTTTTTTAAACTCTACTTTTTTTTTTCTCTATGGCTCTATAAGATGAATCAAATCAATTTTAAAGTATGTTGATTTGATCATACAAATTACTTGAATAAATTTTAATTTTATCATATAAAAATATCTAAAAACATGAATATTTATTATGGATATAATTAACATTTATAATTATTTAGATAAAAGAATTAAATAAAAATAAATATAAATAAATAAATTTAATATTATCTAGTAGAAAATCTTTTTCGAAGCTTCATAGATGCAAATTTGACTTTATACATATTTATTGGTGATTGATAAAAAAAAAAAAAAAAAAAAAAAAAAAAACTTGGATATTAAGTTAATCACATTTTACACACATTGGCAACTTGTGGTATAAGTTGGCCATGTGGCACACACAAAAGAAACTTCTCTTCCTAATTAAACATATGTCTTGCTAGTTGGACACATGTGAAAGATCCTATAGAAAGTTACCACATAGCTCCTACTTAGATAGTATATATAGAAGCAAGAATGAAGTCTTTATTATTCTTGTCAATGTTTTTTTTTTTTTTTTTTTTTTATAGTCTTATTTCAAGAGTCTCCACTCTTCTTGTATTTAGATATAGTCTTTTTTATTCTTAATATTGTACCATATTTTAGTCATTATTTATTCTTTCTTAGTGGAACAAGAATGTATTGATCGTTTGGTTCTTTGTAATTCATGTTCTTGACAACTTGATAAGAGTATAAATTCACTATTCTTGTTTTATTTTAGAAGTGAATAGATTATGTCACTTCTTTTGTTATCTTTTAAAGGTTATAAATTATCTATCTTTAGATATATATATATATATATATATATATATATATATATATCTTAAATATTAATTTCTTTCTTAAAGTTAATAGAATATCTTTCTTTCTAGATTTTATTTTTATTTTTATATTAAAAGTTGTAGATTATCTTCTTTTAATTTTATTCATAGAATTATTAAAGTCATATATTATAGAGATAAAAAGAAAAATTATAGATTCTATACTTGACAAAAATAAAAATATATTTATAATTATTGCGGATATTCATGAATTTGTCAACATTCTTAGCATGTAAATCTCATATATTACTAGTATCAACCATGTGTCAAGGACAAGAACTCGATGAAAAAATAATCCAGACAAGTAAGCCTTCACTCAAAGAAAGGTAACAAAATATAAATAAATAAGTATGTATATTGAAAGAGAAACTAGAATGGCTATTGCCAAAAGACAAGAAAACTAGAGACCCTTGAAGCTAGACTAGAAGCAAGAAAGGAGTTGACAAGAGTGAAGAAGGCTTCATTCTTGTCTCTATATATATTATCTAACTAAGGGCTATGTGGCGACGTTCTCTACGACCTCTAATATGTGTTGACTTTGTAGGATACATGCCTTGACTTACAAGGCAAGTTTTTCTACGTGTGGGCCACATAGTTAGCTTGATCTTCAAGCTAACAATATGTGTGGCACATGGCCAACTTATTGACCACGTTTCTAATCCAAAAAGTCAATTAAAGACACCTATGAAGTCAAAGCAGCATCTATGAAGCTTCTAGGAAGCTTTCATATTAAATACTATAGAATTAACTTACTTTTACTTACTTTTACTTACTTCTACTTATTTGTATATATAATTACTAGCTTATATGAGTATGTCAGTGACATTACCTCCTCTTCTAGGGATGAGTTCCACGAGAAGCAATCATCATATGTTGAGAAAATCTATGATGCGACGAATTATATTTTCCACATACTGTGATCTTTGTTCTCTTCGAAGATGATTGATAGGGCCTCTCAACCATCGGTAGTGTCCCATACGAGGGCAAGAAGACTACCCAGTTATTTGATCATTGTTGAGGCCTTCATAACTTCCTTCGAATAGAACATTTGGAACACCATCAGGAGTTGTTTCTACTTGTAACAAAATCACCAAACATCGGGAGCCCCTTCCCAAATCGTGATACCAAACACGTTGTATCTCGCCATCTATTCGAGGAATAACATGTCGTTCTTGAAGATCTTCATCTCGATTGCATCATCTTGAAGGTTGGGACAATCGTAATGTGTCGTTCAACAGGTCAGCAAATAAAGGTTCTTGAGTTGAATCCACTGGTTTTTGGTTCTCCATCTCCTGAACGTCACAACTACAAAGAAGCTATGAACAAGGATTAAAAGTAGAATGTTGTTTTGCCTAGATGTTTTTTTTATAAAGAAGGTTTCCATCTTGATTTTGATGGATGTCGTTGATGAAAAGCCTCCACCGCCTTTGCTGCATTTACAAGATTTTTTATCGGCTCCCATGTGCATTCACTAATACCATATCCGTGCCAATGGACAAGATATTTCCATTTATTTCGGCGTCGCCTTGAATCTAAGACTTCTTCTACTTCAAATTCTTCATTATTGTTTACTTTTATAGAAGGAGGTGGAGCTTGTCGTCTTCTTGGTATGTCCACTGTCTTGTATGGTTCAAGAGGAGACACGTGGAATACTGGATGGATTTTTATTGACTCCGATAGATGTAAACAATATGCAACTAGATTGATTTATACAGAAACAGAAAATAGTCTCAGCCTTCAATAGTCCAACTTGTTACAAGGACAAGTGGTCTTGATATTGCGATGAAGTAGCCATACCTTATCACCCAAGAGGAATGGTGGTTGTTCCTTTCGATAGACATCCGCATTGACCTTTTGTTGTTCTTGAGCCTCTTTTAACTGCACCTTCATCGTTGCATGTAGCTCTGATAAATGAATCGCCAAATCTTTCGTAGCAGGATTATCAACTTTTAAAAAGTCAAAAGTATCAAGTTATAGGTGATAACCATAATTAGCAAAGAAAGGTGTTTGTTTTGTAGAAGAATGTACCATGTTATTGTAAGCAAACTCTGCCAATGGCAAAAGAGTTGTCCAATCATCTTGTTGGTAGTTAATGGTACATCTTAAATATTGCTCCAAAACTTGATTAACACGCTCC